CTGGCTTTCCAAGCTGTGGCTTGTGGCCTCCCAGCTACTACCACTAAAAAGAAAGTTAAATGCATAATTTTACAACTAATCAACATTGACCTATTAAATAAACCCCAAATCAAACACTGTTCCTCTGTCACCAAAAATGGAAGCGCTATTGGAGTTTTATTGATTTATTTTAGAATGTATACATATACATAGTTAAGTGCCAAGTAGACATAGCTTCCTGGGTTCTGGCTGTCTCGGACGGCCAGAGCCGACTCGAGGTGATTTAGAAATTGCTCGTTCGTTAGGGTGGGCTGGTGAATGGAGAGGCAGACAAGGTTTAATGGTTGCAAAAACGTTTACTTACGCCGCTTGTAGTTGCGACGCAGATGGTCCGGTCGTCTGAACAACTATGTGAGTTGTTCCAGCTGGCGAGGCCCAAGCCAGTTAATCCGTCCGCAATTCAAGTCGGCGGGAAAAGTGTACATCTGGGATTGCGCTCAGCGACGGGAAGAAGGATCGATAGGTGATCAGTCTATCGATCAGCTAGCTGCAAGTCATATCTCTTTAGATATATGACTCTGTAGCATGCTCAAAGTTCTTCGACTTGGGTGGAAGTCGCACGAAATTTTAAATGGCTAGCAAGCCAATTACTAGCCGCCACGTAGGAATAATTTAGAACTAGCCAATAGCAGGACACAAATTTGCAGTCGAATGGCGGAAACTCTCTTGCACCGGGGGTTTTCTGCTGCAACAGAAAACCTTTACTTTTGCAAGAGGCTCTCATGTGGCGGGGAAAATCCACCGTGCCGAGGCACCCAAATCACTGGGTTGTGACACCGGCAAGTCACCTCTCAGATCTGGAGTGGCCCAAATTTTTAGTACCCTTGTTAAACTTTCCAGATTCTGTGAAGACGTATTTTATATTTTTGGTGATAATGTAAATGGTCATGAATAAATAGAGGTATTGCATGTGGCATATGCTGAATAATGCAGCTGACAATTTCAGCTAACCAGAAATCAGAGTTGTAAATAAATCAGAAATACATTTGGCAGCAACTGTTGGATTCTGTCATGTGCTAAACATAAGAACAGTGGAGGATTTTAATCACGCTACATCTATATGGGTTTTACAAAAATGAGCTATTTTTAATACTTCACTGTATTTACCATTCAATATAGTGCAATATTCAACACAAACATGTAGTGTAATGCATTGGCAATTTACAGAAGGAAAATCTTATTGCCTTCACATTCCTGATTGTATTGATGAAGGCAGTTTGCACAGAGAATGTGGCCATTTTCCACTCACAAATGAAGAGTTAGCCCAGCGGTAAATATCAGACACCTGATAAACTGGACGCCTGATCATCTTTTCCCCACACAGCGTATGGATCCGGCTACCAAAGCCTGTAGCTTGGAAGCAGGCCAGGCTCGTTTGCATGCTTCTTCATGCAGGCTCTGGGACCCATTACGTTTCACCCTTCCACTCCCTGGCAGTCCACATTGGTCCCCTTAAAAACTAGAGCTATTTGGTTTTTTTCTTGGAAATGTCTGAGAGGTGATCCAATAATATATATACAGCTGCCTCCCCCATCTATGTACAGTCACTGTGAGCCTGCCCATTTTTCCCAATACTGTATTAAACCTGAGAAGAGTCCTTACACAGTTTCCTGGAAAATGCTGTCATTTCTGACAACTCTTGCATGACTTACCAGTATATTCAGTGAGGCTGCAGGGATTGCCTCCTTTGTTTTTCATCATGATTCTTAAGGCAGAAGAGGGAGAAAAGGAGGCACGACTATTCTGCTCTTGCTATTCTCCCTGAGGGAGCCAAGCCAGGCATATCTAGAAGGGGTGTGCAAAACGGGTCATGTTCGATTTGGATTCAGCCCAAATTGGGGACAGAGATTCAATTAGTTGATTTGGATCACCGTTCCAATTCGAATCTGGATCTGAAGATTCGATGCTGATTCAGAGAATCAGCGGTTCGGCCATAGACACAACTTTAAATGTTTTTTCTACATACATCAAGGTACCAGGTGCAGCTTGTGAATGCTGCGATGGTGGGGTGGATGGATTCAGTCCAATTTGGTGGCTGAATCTCCAAATCCAAATCTAATTGGAGAGACCCTTTAATCTCTCCAAATCAAATCAGAAGCCTCCGAATTGATTTGGAGAGATTTGATGATTCTGAGATAGACGCAGCTTTGTCCCCTGCATGCTCAGTGGCTCCCCACCCCCCCACTCTCCCAGCTCAGCAATCGGCTGCGGGG